AAACCAATCACCGAAAGCTAACTAAAGTTGAGATGAACAAACTTGTTAAGGGTTAGACAATTTTATACATCAATCACACATTTGTCAATCACATAGTAACATGAGTTCAGAAGGCCACTATCTCATCCCTGCTTTGCTTCGCTCATTAGCTTTCTTTTTTTTCTTTTTTTTTGAAAAAAAAATTGATCGGACTCTTTGGAGGTTGCCTACGTATCATGTCGCCGCCTGAATCAGATCATTACGTAGTTCAAGAATTTAGACAACTCAACAAAATTAATTTGGTAAAACAAAAGAAAATCCTTTCATTCATTCTCAAAAAACATCAAGCAAAACAACAAAACCAATGGATTTAAACACAACCCTAATCAACATGATACCTTTGAACACCAAACTTTAAAGTGAAACACTCAGTCTTTAAATAGAACAAAATGAAATAAATAAATAAACAAAAAAAATCAAACTTTCTTCACTCTTCAGCACTTTCCTGGGGCTATCTTTTTCCTCCCAATGTCTCATACAGATTCAGCAACACCTTTGGTAGATGGGGAACAATTGCTCGTGCTTGGTCAGTCACTTCTGGATCATTCATACGGCGATGATTCTTAATAACATAGAAGGTTTGTACTGTCAGCTGATAAACTTGACGCCTAGCCCTTCCCATAATTTGATGACAGTTATTTAGCCAAGCGTGATGATCACCAAGAATGTTCCTCAAGATAGCCTCTTGCTCCTCTGATGCTTCAAGTTGATAACAAAGTTTTGCTCTCTCAATGATCATTTGTCTTTGCCCCTCTTCTTTATCGACACAATGACTGATTTTTCTCTTATTTTCTTTTTACTGATGCATCCAACATGACCTCTCTTTCCTGAATTTCTCCTTCTGCCGCTTAAGTTCTCATTTTTTATAGTGCACGACCTCTTCAGACGCCACTAAGTCCCTCTTCAATCGAGAGATCTCAAAACTCTACTCCTTATTTATATGTTGTGCCAAGTGAATTCTACTATCCATCTCTTCCTCTAACCGGGTTAATTTCCTTTCAGCATGCTTCAATCTTCCATATCTTCCAACTCCAACTGGTGATTCTTCCTCTTTGGACTTGAACTTCTTCCAGTGCAATGGTGGACTTGTCCTTCTCCAAATCTTTCTCCAATTGTCTTATAATGTGTTGATCCTTTCTTTTCCTGCTGGACCCTTCGGGAGTGTCACCAAAAGTCATTGGATCACGAACCACAATAGGTACCCAAGAACCACTTTTCCTTTATCTCTCTCCACAAACATTTCACTTAACTCAGAAATTATACTCCCGTACCATATCTTCATAATATCTTCGCTATTTAAGGCAAAACCTGGTGGAATGTCATATGCAAACCTACTCATATAATCATTTGGTGAGATTTCTTGAATTCTAGCCAGCTGACCAATAACCCGAAATGGGGCATAGGTTTTAACACCTCTTTAGACCAATCAACACAAGAAATGAGACACCATTAGATATGCAAATAATATCTTTAGCTGGGAACCAGTAATAATTCCACAACATTTCATCAGACGTGATCGCCGAAAGTTTTTCTTCAAACGCTATGATTCCTTTTGGAAAATCAATTTTGGCTTCCCTTTCCTTATGGGAGGAAACATAATTACACCAGTCTGGAGTAAACGTGGAGGATTATGGTGATAAAGGTGTTACAAAAACCATATTTGGAGCAACATATTACAGCCTTCAAAGTAAATTTCCCCACTTAAGCATTTAGTCAATGCACGAAACATATCTGCTAGGATCGTAGGAATAATAGTTGGACTTTTAATTGTGGTCAATGCCTTCACCACACCAGCTAGACGATTGTCAATATGGATATCTCGTTTGGGGAAAGCAATGAGCCCCAGAAACGCGACCATGAAGGCAAAGCATCCATTTGTCTTCCAAGCCTCTTCACCTCCTTGGTTGCTTAGCTGGTTCAGATAGTTTTTGAATCCATCCTTTTGGTCGTATCTAATGTATAGAAAGTCCAATAAGACTCACCCATTTTTCAAACTCTCTTTCTCTGTTTGATTGATATTGAGGAGCTCCAGGAACTTTTGGGCATCAACATGTTTTGGAATAATGAGTCTTTTATTGCATAGATCAGCACCTCGAACACCGGACCCCTTCCCTATGAGGCTTGCGATTTCTTCCAAAGTTGGTGTCATTTCAAAGTTAGAAACTAGAAATACATTATTTTTTGGATCCCAAAAAGGATCAATGCCTCAATCACATCCTTTTTAGGGTCTATCTCCATTAGATGCACTAGATGCCCCAAGTGTTCTTTTACAGACTTTTGGTCATGACATCTTTAGGTATTGTGTCAACGATCATGAACTCTGCATTCCTTCACTTCTAAGCCTTTTGAAACCCTGTCCTTTGGTCGGAGGTGCCATTTGTACCTTTAAATAGAATCAAATTAAAGTTTTATGACGAACTCTAACAGAGGGAGGAAAGAATTGTAAAGAAAATTATTTTTTCTTGAAAAAAAAGAAGATAAAACACCCATTTTTATAAACACCAACCCGATAAAGAGATGGATAAAGATAACTGACCTATGTATGGTACCAGATTGGAGACTTGTTAGTGAAAGCCTTTTGATTCAAGCCTTAAAATAGAAATCTTTAAAAATAAAATATAAGATCTCAAATTGATATCTTTAAATGCTTGACACATAGAAGAAGGTAGACAAGCAATGAAAAGATCAAAGATGGAAGGACGGAAAATCCATACCATTTATTTTATTGGAAAAGGTGCAAGGAGAGTGAGAAAAAATCCATGTGAGAGTTAAATTGCAACAATGAGTTGGATGGACGATGAAAAGAATAGGCAGACAGACCAATGACAATGAAATTGGTAGTACAGGAGCGGCTGCTAGGGTTTTCAATAAAGTATAACTTTTATGGGATTTAACCATGTTGTCAGTTTTACTAAATTTCCCTTATTAAATTTGAACTAACTCCATAATATGAGAAGGAAAATAAACAATTGCAAGTCATTAGGAGAATCGAGAGTCTGGATTGTGATGAACAATGCATTCATTCGGTCATCAATATGTTAGGGAGAAAAATCCACCTAAGTTCAACATATTTGATGGAATGGGTGACCTTGTGCACATCTGAGAGCTTACGATTATAGGTATAGGATATTACTTATCTTAATTTAATCCACTAGTCAACTTGAGTTTTCCTCTTCCGAGCAATGTCCAAGGCCACACAATCTATATCAATAATGTATTCATAATAATTTTTTTGGATACAACGTTACCCACGCATATACTTTGAAAGATGGGTCGATCAACAAAATTGAAATCAGAAAATGAGGTTGGAATTCAAAATTCTTTACTTGAAAATGTTACTCAAGGACTTAGCAACTTATTAGCGAACAACATTCTGAAAAAGACCTAAAATTAGTTCACAATCACCAATTTAGTTTAAAACTTGAGTTCTTGAAAAAAACTTGTTATTTGCCCATCAAAATCACAACATTTAATGTTAAAATCCAAACATAATAAAAGAAAAATAAAGTTTTAGGGTCATAAAAGCTTACCCAACAGATTTAGCACAAGAAATCTCCTCAGACTTTTCACCAAGGATTTGCCAAGCTCAAGAATAAAAATTGAGCTTAGACCCCAAAATTTCCAGGTCAAAACCCTTGTCCGATGACACTTTGTGACCATGGTTCCTTTAAGCGAACCCTGCAAAAGTTGGGGTCTTCGCTTCCGCAAAATAGAGTTTGTTTTTTCGAGCATCACGATCGAGGCCCATGGTTTGCTTAACGAAGCCTGCTAACAGAGTCATTTTGCTTTCGCGACTAAGGTCTCGCTTTCTCGAACATCAAGATTGTGAGACACCTTTCGCAAAAGCAAAGCACCAACATTAGAAAAACCAGCCAACTCTCAAAGCATCAAAAGTATCCTTGAGATTCATTTGGAACACCATAGACACAAATCATATGTGGAAATCGACTATACTTGATGTTCTAAACTCAGTGGAAGTGTCGAATCACGAATTTGAAGTCTCTATGACCCAACATTTGTGAAAGTCGTAAGAAACTAACACAACACCTAAAAAGGCTTAATCAAGCTCACGGTTCCTCACTGACGCCTTAAATCATCCTTTGAATCCAACCGAACTCTTGAAATTCAATCCAAACCTCAACTATTGACTAAAGACAACTTAAAGGCTACATTTTCATAATTTTTCCAACATTTGTGAAAGTCGGAAGAACTAACACAACACCTAAAAAGGCTAAATCAAGCTCGAGGTCTTTTAAAATTCAACCAGGACCTCACTGATGCCTTAAATCATCCTTCGAATCTAACATAACTCTCGAAATTCCAATCCGAACCTCGACTATTGACTAAAGACAACTTAAAGGCTAAATTTTCACAAATTTTCAACTAGGATCTCAAATCCTCAAAAGGACTCCGAATCTAAAACCAACAACTCTCACAAACTATGTTCCACATCTGGGAATGGTGGAATTCCGTTCTGACATTCAAAACTCTCAAAGACAACAAAAATCTTTTTAGCAACTTTAACCTTTCAAATTCAAATCTTACAAAAATTCACAACCTATCAATTTTCAAAACTCAATTCTTGGGAGAGGCAAAATGGTAAATTTACGAAACTTTCCAAAAGTGACCAACCCGATCTTACATTAAGTCCTAACTATTTCCAAAATAGTTATTAGCATCGCTAATACCTACATAACCAACACCACATTACTAATACTTGCATAATTCTATATAGTTTCCAACCTATCGATTATTGAACTAGACATTGGAACTCATGTCATCAGGGGCCCAATCCATAATGCTGCTCCTTTGTTCTAATTTATGTGAAATAAATGAAATTTTAAGAATCAAATAAAAAATTTTATGATTCGCAAAAAATTTAAGTTATTAATTATTGTAATTTATTTATAATAACTTTCACATAATTTTCACATTATATATGTTATTCCTTTTGTCTCAAAATATGTGGCACCGATAGAATTTTGAGTATTAACCAAATTATTTGTCTTATAAGTATTTTGAGATTTCAATTATTGTAATTTATAATATTTTTTATGTCATTATTTACAAATAAGATATATTACTCCCACCATTTCAATTTATGTGACAGTAACAATATTTTAAGAGGCAATCAAATTTTTTATGGCATTTAAATTTTTAATTGTTAATTATTGTAATGTGCAGTACTTTTTAGTCATTTCAAGTAATATATGTTACTTTCATGTTCCAATTTATGTGGCACCGATAGAATTTCGAAAGTCAATCCATCTTTTCTTATATAACTTTTAACATTTTAAGTTGCTAATTATTGATTTATAATTTTTTAATGTAATTTTTAAATATTTAACAGACTGAAGAAAAATAAGATAAACACATTATATCGGGAAAAAAATATAAAATGATTAAATTGTCCCTGTCTAGTGTCTAGGAAGCCACATGTTGACAACCACCTACCTACTTCTTAGACTCTTAGTTTCAAAGGTAAAAGATAAATATTTATGAGCCATTTTTCGTACGTTAAATAATTGGTTTGATCTTTTCTTAAAAAAAAAAAAAAAAGAGTAAGAATTAGATTATTCAAACACCTTAATTACATAAGTGATTACTAATATAACATAAGAAAACTAACAAAAAAAAACATAAGAAGGGAGTATTTTGTTTTTGGAGTATAAATTTTGGTCATGTTTTGAGATTTCTTCATATGCAACTTTTGGGAAACACTTTGCCAGTATGACGTCCCCTTGCGTTTTTACAGTAAGCAAAGGCTGGCCTTCTCAAACGATCATTGTAAGTTAAGTTAATGTCATGTAATTTTATTCCGGTGCACGGATTTGAAGCACTACAATCAAATTTCATGGCTGCTTGTGTAGATGATGTTCCCTTCACATTCTTGAATGTTACGTCGCTCACCTTCACTCCTGAACTCTGTATTCATATATCAAATGGTTATAACTTGAAGAAATTAACGAACCATGGTTCTATAACATTAATTTTCATTTTGACACTTTGACTCAGGCTTGTTCTGCTTAGACCTTTTAACATCATAATAAGTGTGTCTTCTATACATTACGCATAACTTTCTTGAAGTTTGTGTCAGATAAGTCAGACAAATAAATTGAAATGGAAGGAGTACCTGACGAGGGCATACATTATGAGGGCAATAGTTTTGGTCAATGAAAATGGGATTTCCAACATTCCTCATAACAAGGTTTCTAAACATGATATTTGTAGCAAAGCCACCACTTGGTCTTGCCCATGATTTTATCCTAACCCCATTTTGTGTCTTTGTGAAAACAGAATTTGCTACTGTGATATTTGCTACTCCATCTTCATTCAAACTATGTCCCAAACTTCCAATGCTTCACGCACGATATGATAAAAATAAGTCAGAAGTCATAATAAGTTATTGGCTTATAAGTCAATAATACAAGTCAATTTCAAACATGCTCTAAGTACATACCTGATACCATGTCCAGGGCCACACCCAACTTTTTCAATCCACATATTCGCGGAGGCAGGGCCAATAGATATACAATCATCTCCGGTCTTGATAATGCTGTCATAAATAGTAATCCCCCTTGAGTTCTGAACATGAATTCCGTCGGTGTTTGGACTTCCACTTGGAGCTGTTATCTTAAGATTCTCAACTCTGACATTGCTGCTGTAACCAATTCCAATGTGTACTCTTTGACTGTGTAGTGATGTCAAACCCTTCAACAGTACATTGTTACACCACATAAATTGTATCGACTGCAATATATATTATACCCACATTAGAGTTAGTTAAACAGTTAAGAACAGTAGAGCCAGAATTTTCATTAAGAATATTCAAAAATCAACCAAGCTTTTCTTTGATTAGAATTTCTTTATATGTGTTCAAATATTATAATGTACAGTTATGTTTACGTAATTTTCAAATATATAAATTGAACGTTACATTCATGGAATCGGTATACTTACCCTAGCTCCTTGTGGACAAGACTTTCCACCTTTTCTACAAGACCAATAACCATGTCCCTTTGCATTAATAGTTCCACCATACACATTAACACCACTTACCTTATAAAACATAATCCAAAACTCAGCATTTCCAATTGCATTATAATTCACCGGCGCAACGAGAGTACCATCAATTCGGAACTCAACTCGTCTCTTACAAGGTCCATTTAAGTTCAACGTCCTTACCAAATACGTTCCTCGTGGAATATACACGTTAGGTTGGCTAGTAGAGTGGCAGGCAGAAGACCAAGCGCGAAGAAAAGCGCAGGTTGAGTCCGTCCTACCATCTCCCCTAGCCCCAAAATTAACCACATTGTAAGCTAAACAAGAAGGTATAATTAGTATAATTAAACAAAAGAAGAGAAAACAAGAAACACTAGTAAATTTCATAGTTTTGAAGTCGTACATATATATGTTGAGTGCTTGTTTAGAAGTCGTTATAATGAAAATGAAGATTATGCATGTGTATATTTATAGTTATTCAAATTGTGACCATATGATTAAAAAAAATTCTCCACCATGACAATAGATTTTTTTTTTTTTTTTTATGTTTAGAGTAATTTGAATGCTAAACACACGTCACATACTACGGACATGTACGAACGAATGAATATTTATTGGCGGTACATGTGCACATAATTATTATGTGGAAAAACTATGTATTTGACTTACTTCACCACCATATATATTATTATTGCTTATATTTTTAGAATATTATATATTTTAGCATTAATTAAGAGTTTTCTACGTATTTTAGATTTAAATACATGTATGTTTACTAGCTAATATACAAGGGAAAGAGGCGAGCGAGATTTGTATGTATATATGCGGAGTGATTCACATGTATATGGGATACCATATACAAGAGAGAGTAGCGAGCGAGATGAGAGAGAGCAGAGGGAGGCCAACGAGATCTGTATGTACCATATCTATACATGTGAATCATACTAATACACGCTTTATACATATATTTATATATATCTTAAGTAATTCACATGTATCTGGGATATCAGATACATCGGAGAGTGGTGAGTGAGATGGGAGAAAAGCGAGCGAGATTTGTTATGTATGCTAGATACATGTGAATCTACTTGTATACAATGTATCTAGAATAAAGTACACCTAAATTTGATCATGTATCCGAGATACATGTATCTGAAAGCACAAAAGTCTGGTAAAATAGCTCCTAAACTGGTGAAATTTATCTAAATTCCCATTATTATTTGAGTATAAGAATGAATGTTGTCCCAATTTAAACATCACAGTTCAAATTTCGAAAGTCAATCGAAGTCTTTTTACTTAGTTTTCAAATAACTTGTAGTTTTTATGTCCAAATTAATAATAGTCTAATTTAAAAGATTAAATCACAAAATTTAAACCGTGTCACATAAATTGAAATGAATCACAAAATTTAAATCGTATCACGTAAATTGAAATAGAGCTAGCATTACAAATACGATAAGAAAATTGATAAAAGAAGAAGAAGGATCATGGGGTTAAATAAGAATTCGGTCAATTTTCAAGATCCATCAAGAACGCAAGTAATGTAGAAGTTGAGTAGAACATCAACATGTGAGTTGCCAGCTTCATATATTTAATTCTATAGCCACTAGTATTAGCTAGATTGATCTTTTAATCATACCAAAATATAGAAAATTATAATTTTGAAAAATAAAAGGCTTAGAAGTTTTAATTGTTGGAGGAGGGGGAATATTGCTTTGATCCCAATGCAAATTTGACTTTAGAAACTTGTCTTTCTTTTTTTAATAAAAAAATATTAGATAAGTTGTTTTAAAAAATATTGCATACATCATTCCCCACGTCATATCCATGTTATGATATGTAGGATACACCATGTGATAAGTTGGCTTGCTTTTTGTCAAAACATCTTGTTTGCTTCATGTATCTTATCGTAAAAATCAATCCATATAAATAATTCAAATTTACACAGTCAATTTTTATTTTATTTTAACAGTATATTCAGACATAATAATTTAATGACTTTTGAAAAATAATTTACATATTTTAAAACAACATAAAAAATTATATAATAACTGTTAGAAATTAACAATTTGTCTTTAGTAGTTCAAGAGGAGTGAGTTTATTTATAAAATAGAATCGCCCAAGTCCATATAAGGAAAGTTAACTTATAAGGTAGAATTGCTCAAATCTATATAATAAGACCATTAGTTTATTTTCCTAACCAACATGAGACTTTTACCAACTCTAACACCCCATTTCACACACAGGCCCAATTAGAGCAAGGACCAAGAGCCCAAATAGGGATGAATTTGGCTCTGATACCATGTAAATATATGACTAAAGCTTAACTCAACACCAGAAAGCTAGTTTTTGGGGTTGAGTTAGGCCCATGTATCATATCTTTACAAGGTGATCACCAATCCAATTCCCAACCAATGTGAGACTTTTACCCGTTGTAAAAACCCCTTCACGCCCAAGCCCAACTGGGCGTGGACCGAGAGCCTAAACAGAAATGAACTTATCTATGATACCATGAAAATATATAGCATCTGGACTTAACTCAACCTCAAACCCAAGCTTATTAGGTGATGATAGCCCAAGTTCATGTAAGGAGATCACTAGTCCATTTTTCATCCAATGTGGGACTTTTATCCACTCTAACACTCCAAAATGTTAGTTCATCCTAATTGGTGAGGTAGAATATTGAGGCTTTAGCACATTTGCTGAATTGCAAGATTGGGGCTATTCATATACTACTTATGTTGGTTTACTTGTAAATGCCGCTAATATGCTTCCAGATTGACAAACAAAATTAATGTTAAGAGGGAAAGGAAATTCCAAGTAAGAGCACGTTGCTGAGCATTCCTACATATTTCATGCTTTATTTTATTGGTAAGTGTACTTACATAAAAACTCAAGCAGGTAAGAAATTTCACTTTGTAAATTGGGCGATTGTCACCACACCGAAGTGTTTTGGGGGGGGGGGGGGGGGCTTGGTAAATTATCTTGTGTTCTTTAATAACGAATAACCTATTTTTCTTTTTCTTTTTTAATGAACTCATTGAATTTCTATCGGTCGGATATTTAAAGGTGTAAACAGGAAATGAAGGGTTGTGACTCTCCAGAAAAGTTGTGATTATACTGAAGGTTCCTTTATGAAAGGTTGTGTCCTTTTTAAAGGGTTGTGACCTTTTGAAAGGTTGTGCCTTTTCTAAAGTGTTGTGACCATTCTGAAAGGTTGTCTTCTTTCCAAAAATTTTTGACCTTTACCCTTTGTTAGCTTTAAATATAGAGGCTTTATCTCATTTCTGAATCGAATTTTACCTCCTTTTGCATACATTTCTTACAAAATAAAATCGATGAATCATATATGTATGTGTGATTGCTGTCATTTTGAGTTCGTTCAAATTATTTGGTACCACTACTTCTTTAATGGTTAATCCATTTTATCTTGGGAGGAATTAATCTGCAACCTCGGGTACTTGTGGAGATTAAATTTCTCAAGGACGCACGGTAGATTCTATGGACTCGAATAGTTCCTTGTTATATTATTCTCATCTTTTACTATTTCTTCTTTGCTAATCTGAATACAAGAGATAACAAATTTAAGAAATTTATATTATTGATGATATTTTCTGTGGTAAGGAAATTACATTAATTTTTCATGTTCTTTTTTTGGAAAAAAAAAGAATTTTTTTTTATCATATGATAAAAGAGATTTGGGATGAATTAGTACTACTTAAATATGTTCGGGTATACTTTTTGTAGTAAGTTTTTTTTGGATAGGCAAAATTATTTTTGTTTTCTTCCCAAGTGCATTCAAGCATTGCACTCTTTCAATTTTATTTTCAATGAGAAAAGTTATTTTGAGCATTAAGGCTTAGATGTGCATTTTGATTATTTTTTCTATATCTTTTATTTTATATAACTATGAGAAGAAGTAAATGAACAGATGTTGTCTCCTAACAATATTTGAACATGAGTTTAGTTTCTCGTTGAAATTTAATATCATCTCAAGAAAATTGGAATATGACGAAAACTGAGAAAGAATTAAAAAAAATACAAGAATAGTGACCTGCATGGAATCTTGCTGACAGAAAGAATATGATATAATAGGAATAAAAATCATGTTCTATCTTTATTTCCTTTGATTAGTATTATTATTTTCTATCCTTTATAAGTTATGAAATTTATTTCATAAATTTTTGGATAGATGGTCATTATGTGATGATCTCATAATATATTTTTATAATATGTATTCTGCTTAGAGGAGAAAAAAACTTGTGTAATTTTCTACTCCACGTGAAATTCGATTGTTTCTGACTTGTAGAGACTAAAATCTTCTAATTTTTTACTCTTGTGATTTGAAGAATATAAGAACTTCACGAACTAATCATATTGTCCATTGGTGTGAAGAATATAAAAACTTCCCCAAGTTGTTAAATACTCTGTTTGAATGAATATTTTGACTTGAAGAGTACAAAATCTTCGTCAAAAATATTAAGGCTAAATGATTTGAAATAGATGAAATTTTCGTCATTAGCTAGAAATAGTGGTGTATTTGAGGTTTCTAGAAGTTAAAACCTTTTTGGTTTACTACTCTGTCTTAATGTGAAACTGATTCGAAGAATATAAAAACCTCATCAGAATACAAGGTTCATTCGATTAACGATTAGAAGAATATAAAAACATCATCATTAAACTAGAAACAAGTTGTATAAATATTGAATCTATATGGTTAGTATTCTAAATACTACGTGGTCTGTCTAATTGTGACAGAAAGGGAAAAGAAAAGCACTAGTGACATAAAATTAATGATTTTTTTTGTGCTTGCAATGGGCATTTCTATAGATTAAATCTCCAAAACAAGTCTTTGTATTGCCAACGTGTATTTTGATGACATATAAATTGAAATATTGGCAAAAAAAGTGTGGGAAATAATTTCAAATTCTTGAAAAATATTTTTATTGACATATTTAAAATGTGGGGGGTTCTTTACTTGTGATAAAGACAAAATTAGACTTACTATCTAATTTAAATTTGAAAGTATAAGATATCAAATTTAATGTATTCTTGTATTATGTTAGACCCACAAAATTCTTGGAGTTTATTTGATATTGTGGTCGTTGAGTCTCTCTTTACTAGTATGTGATATGACTAATATAAAACCACAAAATTATATTACTCGTTCAAAAAAATTGTATTCTTTGATGAAAAAGTTTCACTTACGATATTGTGATTTTTCATGAAAAGATATGTCTATTAAAATAAATTTATTTGTATAGACATGAACATTGATGAAAAGTGATCTAATATGTTTGTGTTGTAAAATAAACATTTGGGTCATATTGATCTTATTGAACCGACGAGACTATGGTCATAGGTAATATTATAACAAATTAAATGTAATGGAAAAGTCCTTCTGAAAAGGACATCTGGCGA